GGCCCCGCTCCATCTCAGGCCAGGCTCTCTGCTCCCTGGCCCTCTCCTGCACCGCTTCCGCCTGTGGTGCGTGGTGTGCCTCCTTCCTGTGTGTGTCAGAGGCAGTTTGGGCTGATTTATAAGCTCTTGACACATGGTGCTTTGGACCCCTCCTCTGCTGCTGGAATGGCTATTCCATGTGTCTGTGGTAGATCCACCTGGGTGGTTCTCCGCTGGATGGGGGTCAGATGTGGTTTTGCTCTGCAGCTCCAGGAGCTCAGGGAACCTGCCCCGCAGACAGCGTGGAGAAGAAGAAAAACGCTTTCAGAAAAATCTGCTTCCAGGCTTGTTTTCCAGTTAAAGTCACAGGTTTCTTATATTCCCACTTGTTAGGAGTTGTGCATCCAAACTTGCTAAACTAAAATACAAAGTATAAAATAAGCCAGTTTTAAAGGGTTTGTGGAGTTTTAAATAATGTCAAAAAGTAAAAACCTCTTTTTGCTTTATAAGTTAAACTTAAATCTTATGCCATATAGGTCTGAGATCCAGATGTTTTACTGCATTTCCTTTCAGCATCGCCAGTGCATGATTAGTTACTGATAACTGCAAATGTAATAAAGCAGAGAGTTTTCAAATACTTTACAAATAAAACTCTGAAAAGTGTGTCATGCATTTGTATTCAGCCTCCCAGAATTATCTGCAGAGGAATTTTCACCCTTCCTCTTCAGCTCAAAGATTGATTACGGTAAGTGTAGATTTGACTAAACGTATCTAAACGTAGAACTCCATCTGTCATCTTTGGCCAGCTTCTTCGTTTCTGCTGAAGAAAAAGAACCCCACAACATAATGCTGCCGGCATCATATTTTCACCTCATGAAGCTCACATTTAGGATAATCGGCAGTGTTAATTTTCTTTCTCGCCTCGCTGTTTCAGCCCAGAAGTTCAGCTTTGGTTGCATTTGACCAGAGAACCATTTTTCACAATGATTTTATTTAAGATGTAATTATGCTTATATTTAAAAATTATGTGTTGCTTTATCTTGGTCTGCCACATAAAATCCTGGTAAAATACAGTTATGACTGTGTGTATAACCAAAAATAATGGGAAAACTTCTTTAATAATAATCTGTATTTTAAAAATTCAGTCCAACAACATATGGCTCTTTTTAACCCACTCCTTCCATTTGTAATTTGAAAGCAGGAGCAGCTCACATTTTCACAATTTGAGAGGTTGCGTCGGACATCTTTGGCTGCAGCATTTGGGTGGTAACAGGAGACAAGGTGGAGTCCTCGTAGGTGAAGTATAACAAATAGATGGTTGCATTCAGGCGGGAGGACGTAACCCACCCAGTGTGTTTGAGCTGCCTGTGGAGGTCTGCATGGGGACTCTACCTTTGCGGCTACCTCTGTCTCACCACAACTGGTCAGAAGTTTGCATACACCCATCATGGTCATGAATCTTTGATTCATTTGAAAACATTAAATCATTTATTTGAACTTTATTTTCACTGGGATGGATTTGCAGAGACATTCACTGATTTTACTGAAATTATTTAAATTTTACTTTAATTAATACTGACTTTAAATGGAGTGTATATTCTAATAGAATTGAACGTATCCTTCAAACTGCATTTGATACTGCATACATGCTTTTTGTAAGCAGGATTAAATTTTTGCCTTAACTCCTGCTGCATATTTAACCAGCTTTCTTGGGGGAGGTGCTTTAAATCAGTTATGTTTCTGGCATGAACCATTCACAATCCAGGTTTGGGCTCTCGAACTGATATGCTTCTTTTATGTATTCAGTTTTTATAATGGATTTATTATAGAATAAGTTTTTAGTGGAATGATTAAATTAGTGTTTTTGTGTGTCAATGTAATGACAGCCATGGTTTGGACTATACAGCGGCCAGAGTCTCAACCCAAGACAGACTTCAAAAGCCTATCTAATCTACTGTAGAGGCTGCAAATCATAAACTTCCCTTAACCTAAGCATAATGCTGCCACCACAATATATATATATATATATATATATATATATATATATATATATATATATATATATATTAAAATTATCCCAAGAACCAATGAGCAACTCACCCAGGAGGTCAGAAAAGAACCCTGAACATCTACAGCTCTGCAGGCCTCCCCTAGGGTCATCGGCCATTATTCAGAGAGACTGAAGGTGAAAACCTCCGTTGATCAAAAAGTAACTCATAAAATTTAACTTTATTAACTCAGACAAAAAAAGTAAATAAAATATAAAAAATGTAAAGTGGTCTGGTGAAAGTTTGGGATAAAATACACCTTTGAAATTCTGGCTTTACACAGGGATCCACGCTCACCCTTCGAACACCCTTCAATACAGCTGCAGCTGTGCAAAGAAGAGTATAGGTGAAGGGTCCTTCAGAAGTGTCATAAAGGACCTATTTCCAGTCACAAAAGCTTGATAGCAGATGTTGGGACCAGGGCTGACTGAACCACTTGGAGCCAGAATAGCATAGATGGCTTTTCATTAATGATAAATGTCATCTGCATTTGAAAACTATATTGTCTTTACTCATTTTATCTTATCCTGAGGTTATTATTATTATTATTTAAGATTTTAAACATTACAAAGTAAAAAAAATAGCAGAACTGTCTCTCTCAAAGATGAATTTGTTAATACTTAAACTGAAAGGCAGAGCTGGTAGGTAAGGCGCAACGAAGCAATTTGTTTACTTAAGTCCAAATAACCAAATTGTTTTTAAGCTCTTGCGTCTATCCAGCAGAACCTGAAGATATCCATTTTCAAGCAAGCACCCTCTGAACTGAGAGTTATCTTGAACTAGGTTCACTTTGAACAGTAACACTGTGGTTACAGCAGCTTCCTGTTCAGGACAGAATCGGGACTTGGTGGATCTTGAACACATTTCCTTTCTCCTAAGGACAAAGGTTTGGTTCAGACGGTTGATACTTGGACACAGATGAGTTTTTAAACAGGACAATTTTTCCAGACACATGACAACTGAAATGGATAAATAAGGCTAACTCAAACCATTACCTGTAATGGTGTAACGAAACAACAATAGGTCCATAAGCAACAACAGGCCGTAGACAACCGACCCGAAATATGCCCCATAAATACAGACTTGATCATTTGATCATTCTTCACCTTCACTAGACATGGATATACTTTAGTATATTCTGCTGTAAAATGAGTCTTATCGGGCTACCTTCAGCTTCACAGCCCCCCTCCTCACCCACGCTCTCTCCATTCATCTCCTGGTCGCAATCTTTACTCACTGTAGCAGCAACATCCACCTATTTTGGGAAGTTTTTTCCGTTCTTCCAGCAGCTCTTCTTTGCTTTTTCTTTTCTGGAATCTGCTTAAGTACCTCTTTTTGGTATCCATCGTCGATAACACATGGTACGTAATGGTTATGGTTTTAATCTATGCTCTGGATTACCCATAATTCCAAGTCGTGGTGTAAAAAATAAAATACTCAAATCCATTGTTCTTTTAAGATCTTTATTGCGGTTTGAAACATATTATATGAGTGTATTTTTTACCAACTGTATTATTGGTATGGTATTATTACCATATTAATTAGAAGTACCGCTGTCTGCTTTGCTATTGGTGTCGTGTTTAAACGGCTCACCATCATGTTAAAATCTGGCATGTGTTGGGGTATAAATAAGGTCCGGTCAGTCATCTTGATATTAGGTGAGTTTTAAGAGGAATTTTGCGCACCATTATATCTGCAATGAGACATCCTAGTCCACAATTGCGAAGGGGGCCAACCAGGTGTCAGTGACGGGGCCCCTAAGAGTTTGAAGGCCCCTAAGCAACTGCAGTCTCTGCTTACCGATATTTACGCCACTGATTGCCTGTTGAAACTTAAAGTTATTATGGAGGATTTTCATGCATTTTTAAAAAGACCTGCCCTCTCAACTTAAAAAACAAATGTGCATGGGAAAGCATATACAAGCCTATTTCTCCTTCATGCTCTGTTTAAAAGTTGCTGTTCTCATAGCTCATACAAGCTTACTGTGTCTGAACGTCCGCCCTAACCCTTAAATCCCTCAATCACTATATAGAGCGGGGACCATATAGTGGTCATTATTGTGAACTCAGTTAACTGACTGTTCAGACAGATGATCACTGCTTCTTGCTCCATTGGTCACGTAACTCCTCCTCCACCACGCGGTGCATGCGCCATCTTTGTTATTAGTCGCCGCTGTCGGGTAGCAACAGCCTATTGCAACAGCTGGCAGCTGTGACAGCAAATCCCATAATGCTTTGCGAGAAGAGCTCGCAAAAGTTGAGAAAGGTGAGCTTCAATGACTGTCTGAAACCGTAGCTCACCACAGATGTACGCCTAAACATGCGCATGTGCAGAAAAAGATGGCTAACGGGACGAGCAGGTAGGACGGCCTTAAACATATCACCAGAATGATTGACAGTTAGGAGGACCACTTATTTAGATGATCCACCCAGAAATAAAGGATCGTCCTCTATACCTTTAATGCAAAAAAGGAAAAATGATCTCCAACATCCATAAAGAGTAAAGCTCTAAAGGTTTGCGATTTCCTTCTTTGTCTAACTGTCATTCTACCAAATATTAATGATATGTATATTTTTAGGTTATTTGTATACCTTTCCGTTCTGTTTTTATTTAAACTCAGTTTAAAAGCAACTTTAATTGAACTCAATTAATTCACCTGCTGAATCCGAAAGCCTTAAAAAGTTCAATTTGATCTGATTTTGCTCAGAGCTGCAACATAAAGAAAGCATTCAGTCAAACTTCACATGATGTTTCTCTAATCTTTGATACAGATGAATGTTTTCAGCTGGAAATGAAACCGTTATTTTACTCTTGATGAGTTGGTGGCTGGTTACTTCCACTCGCTCCCAGTTCTTCCTGGATGGGTTTGTGTCGCTGAGGCGCCGTCCCTCGCAGTCCCCCCTCCCCCGTCCCTTCCTTCCTGCGCTGCGCTCTCGCCAAGCCTCCGCTGTTTAAATGGGCCAAGTTGAGAAGCGGCGGAGAGTGCAAATCTTGTTTGGTCTGGGTCTGTGAACTTCAGCGTGACTTCAGCTACACCCTGCAGTCTCATTCTTAACAACTCTTTCAAAACTTCATGCGGCATTAATTACAAACTGAGTTAAAGTTTGGTTTCTGTTTAATGACGTGTGGGGATATGGTTTATTTTATTTTATTTATTAGATAAAAAGTGTAGGTGATATATAAATCCCAAATCCCCACGAAAAAAAGAAAAAAAATCGGTTTTAATAATAAAATCGTTTATATTTCTCCCAGTGATAGGACGAGCCGCTCTAAGCAGCAGTGATCTAACCTAAGTGGCTCAGGGCTTCCCAGCATGTCAGGTATTAACAGAGCGAGTCAGATTAAATGTGGGAGGTAGAGCTGCGAGGCTGCCGCTGCGACCTGGAAACTACTGAATGGGAATCTATCCGGCAACTTTAGCAGACCGCTCTCTCACGGCGACACGGGGGCTCCTCTGCGTAAAACCGAGCGGCGCGTCTTCCAGTCTGGCTCAGCCCAGCTCGCTCGCCAGCAGGACGCTCAACTTGGATCAGGCGCGCAGCTTCTCACTCGGCTCCCACTAACATGCCTGCCATCAAAAAGGAGCGGCTGGATGGAGACGACATGGCTCTGACCGCCTTCAACCAGTCCGAATACCTGGCCCCTTTAAATGCCACCGCCATCCCAGTGGTGACCCCGCACCCGCCGCCCTACGAGCACATTTTCGCCCATCATCGCGCGTACTTGGGGCTCCACGACTCGGCGCTGCATCACCAGCACCTCCACCACCACACGGACGACTTGATGCTGGAGAGGTTCTCCTCCATCCCGGACTTTCAGCCCTTCTTCGATAACGGGGAGCCCTGCATCGAGGTGGAGTGCGGAGAGAACAAGGCTTTGCTTTATATCAACAAACTGTGTCAGGGCAGTAAGGGACCCTCGATCAAATACAGGGGCGAGTGGCTCACCCCCAACGAGTTCCAGTTTGTTAGTGGACGGGAGACAGCCAAAGACTGGAAGAGGAGCATCAGACACAAAGGTAAGATTAACTTTCATTCAATGTATGGAAAACATTTTATCATCCCTTTTAAACTCCACTGTGTTTTGGAGTGAAAGGGTTACAGCAGTCAGTGCGTAAGGAGACAGATGGGTAAAAGGCGCATAGATAGCCTCCTCTCTCCGTCCGAGAGTTTGGCACAGACCCTGGGCTGCGATCGCTCTCCATGCCAGGGCTTCTGGATGGGATAAGATAAAAAAAAACAGGAAATATTTCCATTAAAGCTTTATATCGACTTGGATCAGGTTGTCTTTCATGGGATTTGACGCTTTTACGCAGTAAAAGTTGGACTTAAAGTAAGTGTTGTGACTCAAATGAACTATATTGCCTTTAATTGTATAGCTGCTGTTTGGATACATTTTTTTGGAGTGTGGTAGATCCAATTTTAAACAATTTAGCCAAATATTGTTGATTTTCTATGTATTTTTCTTTGTTGGTTGGGATGTATTTTCTGCTACAATGACCTCCAGTTTTTGCACACACAAACAGGGGCAGGAGTGACACATTAAGTGGGTGTGTGGGGAGGGATGTCCCCCCCAGGTCCATAATGATATCCTAATCATTTGTTATGCCATTTCTTATGGCTAGATGACAGTAGGCTTCTGTCTGGGTAGCTGTCCACACTGTGGATGCAGTTAATGTCAAAGTCAAATGAATGTAAGTTCCATTTATCTGCTGGAGCTTTGAAAGTCTAAACTATCGGAAGCTGGTTTATAATGTGAGAAAATTAACTAGTTTCTAAATATCTACTGTATATCTTTTTTTTTTGTTAGGGAAAAGTCTCAAGACTCTTATGTCCAAAGGAATCTTACAGGTGCACCCTCCAATTTGTGACTGCCCTGGCTGCCGGATTTCATCTCCAGTGGTAAGAATGCTGCTTCGTCCTCATGTTTAAATTCAAAATTAAAAGCTTTTTATTACTTCTAGAACTCAAATGCATCTTTTTGTTGTTGATGTTTGTGCTAAAAAGGGTTCAAAGATTGCTGAGAAAATCAAAATAAAGCAGCACGTTTACAGCATTTGTGGATAAAATACTATATTAAAAAAATATTTTTACTTAAAAAGGAACTTTTTGTAGTGCGTAGGATTACTGTGTGATCATAGGATCACAGACAAGTCTTTAACGGCTGGATCCCATTTTGACTTTATGCTTTGGAATAAATTGGACTGATCTGAATCCAAACTGGGTCCCATATAATGATATATGGGCCTACTTGCTTGTTAAGTACCTCAAATGAAGTTTGTTGTGATTTGGCACTTTTTAATAAATAAAAAACCTCTCCTGTTTGAAATAATGTCGATTGTTTCTGCGATTAAAAGATGCATCTACATTTGGTTCGCTTGATAACAGTTGGGCCAGTGGTTCTGGTATTTTTCCGAGGGATCTATGTGAGCACATTCTAGACTTGCGTCTCTTTTACCCTTCATGGTGAGGACCCCACAGGCTCACATGTCAAATTTGATGGTAATTCTTCACAGCTTGAACAGTGGATCCTCTCTCTGCCCTTTTGTGTCGAAAAGAGCTCTTTATTTAAAAGCAGTGAACTGCCAATTAATTCCTCCAGACGTTAGACATATTGTTGGTCAGGATCATTACAGCCTGACTGAATCAGCTTCCTCCTCACCTGTCCGCCGTTGAACTCTTGTTTGCCTAGCTCTTTCCTCAGGGGCTCGAACCGGGGGCGCCGTGCCAAACCTTGAGGCCTTGCAGGTGTGTCACGATTATGGCATCACCGCACTCTTTTTTTTCTTCCCCCTGCGTCTGTGTGTCAGCTTTGAGCAAGCACGCCATCAAATCTGTTCACACAGGTGCAGCCGGCTGTGTGTGTGTGTTTTATCACCACAGAGCGCATCTGTCGTCGCTCCCAAGCACTAATCTTGAGGGAAGGGTGTAAGAGGCTTAGCGAGCTACTGAGCACGGCTACCGCTGATTATTGTGTGCGAGGCATGCAAGGCGAAGGAGGTTTTGATAAGCCGGAGGTGTTTGAGTGATATAGGTAAACTGGTGACATTTCTTTCAGCTGAGAATGGAGACCTACACCTTAACAGGAAAGGTCCCAGTCAAAACAAATTACAAAGAGGAGGGGGTCATATTTTGTATTTTACTTTATGAGATCCTGAGCGTGCAGAGTTGTGTTTAGGCTCATTACAGATTTGAGAGTGATTGGTTTTTTTTGGCCTGCCACGGCTTGTGCGGTTCCACTTCAATTAGAGCCTTGACGGAGAAAACTTTGTTACTTACGTAAGCAGAGATATGAGAGCCTTAAGGTTGTTGTTGCTGTAGTCTTTTCTCCTGCTTCCCCACTCCTTGTGTGGTGGTGAAGCCTTAAGCCTAACCCACCAAGTTAATATTACCCTAACCCCCCCACACACACTCACACACTGACGCACATGTTGGCAGTTCCATGTGAGGCAGTGAGGGTTAGGCGGAGGAGGTGAGGCAGCGGGACTCGTATAGCCTGTGCTGGCGTCTCTCCCCACTGACTGACTCCCCTCAGGGCATGGCTGCAGCACAGCACTCCCTCATTGATGAGCTCTCTGCTGCAAACACACACACACACACACACACACCAAGCCTGCCTACTGACACAAATTACCTCATGCCGACATTTATTTTGAAAGTTTGACGGCTGAACTTTGAGTGATCTTGTTTCGCTTATAGGCATGAAGCAAGCGATCATAAAGTGCAGCAGCTGTTTGGAAGAGGTTTCACCTGCCTGCCCAGTAGCCGCTCATCATGACACAAACTGCTGAAGAGCTTAAAAATGCTGGGAACTTTTGATTATTTGGATTCCACTGTGACACTGGGTCAGAGGATCTTTAAAAAAGTTGATTTATTTTTCATTGGTGTAGAAAGACGAAGCATGTATGTAGACCTTTGATATATCATACACATAAAGTGACACATGTGAGGCATTCTGGCTTACACCTTATGGAAAACCCTAAACTCAATTTCTTAGGGGTTTAGAGTTTTACATCAGACCTATAAAATCATTTTAATACACATAGTTCAGACTGCCTGAAAGTATGTCCATGTACTGCATTTTACAGCCTTTGAGCCCATTTTGCCTGAATTACAGCATGAGTGTATCATGGCATGGAGGTGAAGAGCCCGTGGTTCTGCTGAGGGGTTCAGGAAGCCTAGCTTGCTTTAAAAGCATGTCTGAGTTGGTATTTATCCTCTTTCTCTTGAAAATAGGGTTTTTCTGCAGGGTTTATGTCAGGAAAGTTGGATTGTAGGACAAACTCACCAATACCTTATAAAGAAGGCAGAAGTACTTTTCACAATGGGGGAGGGAGTCATATCCTCCTGAGAAAAAAACAAAAAAGGTGCAACCTGCAGCCTCATCTTAATATCACTATGCAGTATGCTTCGTGTGACAAACTGACTGGACTTAAATAAATGTTAGCACACTATTAGGGTGGAAAGTATTTCAGCTCTGTGGGTGTATTATCTCTACTTAGGTGGTGTTTGTTAATGCATCGTAAAAATATTTTAAAGCGGTTAAGCCTGAATTAAGTTGTTAATTCCAAAACAGAAGTAAAATTTTTAATGAAAAACATTAAAATAAGATGGAAATATAAATGAGAGTTTCTATTTATTCTGCTCAGTATCTGGGCCTATGTTTGCTAAGCACTTTTTTATCATCTTAAGTTTTGTCCCTACCCTGACATTTACTGACATCACAGCATATGGCCTTGAGCAGCATTAGAGGAAGCATGAAGTTCTCCTGATGTAGCTCAGCTCTGACTTTGGACTTGTTCAAACACAGCAGACCAACTACTGGAAATTATATTCTTTACAAATTCATCACTGATTATGAAGACCCCTTGATCTCAGCTATGATCATGTCCTTTTTTACTCTCTACTCCAGACTCTGGGACCTCAAAATATAAATAAAATGTTCCTCTGAAAAGATTATGCCTTGTGATTATTTTAATTACATTAACACAAGCTTTTCTGCACATCCTATCAAAGCCTTTTCTGCTTGTGCACTTTATTTTCTTTATAAGTTTTCCTTACACTAAACTTTCTGTTTGTATTCTGCATAAATATGGCATTTTGTGTTTAGCAGCCACTTTTCCTGGCTAACCTTTGTTGCGGAGACTTGTCTATGAACTTGTCTTTCCTGTTTTTATTGATCTAAATGTCTGAGAACCAATATTTTGGGATATTTTGGGTCTTCGCAGCTGGAAACCATTATCTGCACAATTACAAGAAACAAATATCGCTATATCTGTAAGAAGTATACATTTAATTCCTAAAGTTTAATTACTAAAATACACACAGTCCTTTATAGTGTCTTAATGTCTTATGAGACTGATGTGGTTCTGTCATGTATGGCCAGAATCAGGCGATTCATCTATTATTGACCCTTAAAGTTAGTTTCTGTTATAAGTTGTTGGTTTATATATATTTTGTTTGTTGATATGTCTGGGTTGCGTTTAGGTGTGTCTGTGTGCGTGATTGTTTGTAAGTCCAGTACTGGCCTTCTTGTTAGGCCTGCATGTGCATCAGTGTGTGTGTGCGTGTCTCCTCCCAGGAGAGCAGGGCTTCCTCTGCTCTGTTATTTCAGCGGAACTGGCGGAGGCTGGGAGGAAATTGCTCTCCCCTCCTCCTGCTTGTAAAGACCTCTTCCAATCAAGGGCTCCTTTCGACGAAGTGGAAATAAACCCGCTGCTAGACGCACATCTGCACGAACACACAGACACATCACGCACTTTTGATTCCTTTCCCTTAAAACTTTCAGTCTATCCCAACTCATTTGTCTCCATGAATGTTTGTGATAATTGCTGATGTTACTATGCCTTGCAAAATTGTTTTTGCCCATAAATGTTTCCCTTTTTTTGGTAACTTGTCATGTTACAACTTCAGTCTTCATGGATCATTTGATAGATGTTTGGTAGCTGCAGAGATTTGCTGTTTATTCAGTATAATCAGTCAACAGGAGGCAGTTAGCTGTACGTTAATCTGCTCTTTATGAGAAGGCACCAAGAAGGTCATTGCTGAAAGAAAGCCAAAATGCACGTACAAGGAACGACAAAGATATGAAGACCGATTAGAGGAATGTAACTCTTTCGCTTAATGTGGTGGAGTGTCATCGTGTTTACCTGGTTACAGAGGTAGAAACACGGAGGTGGTAGCATCATGCTACATGATGGTACTGATGGATAGAGCTAAAACAAGAAAAACACTAAAAAGGAAATTTTTACATCAAATTATTTGCATGTTAGGATGGCATAGTTAAAGTTTAGCTTTGAAGGCAAGACATGATAAAGGCTCAATATAAATGCACCCTGATATTTTTTATCTTTACGCCGAAAATAAATGAGAAACTAGTATATTTTTCCATTCACTTATCTATGTAGACATTTATAGTTGTAATATAAGAACATGTGCAATAGAACACGGTGTGCTTTTAAAAGGCAATGTGGATGGTTTGGGTCAGTTGCAGTGAGGGTCCATTTGTTGTGCGGCTATTTTATTTTTTGTGACTTTATTTTGGATTGTATGTTGTCTATCCAGTGCTGCTATGGCAACACTAGAATCAATGTTTAATCACCATAGGACTGCAGTGTTGTCAAAAATATTTCTGCATGTTAGTGTGTGTCTGTATAGGTTATGGATTTTACCTCTGTTACATAGAGACCAGCTTATGTGCATGAAAACATTTGTTCGATTCCATCTTCTCCATATGAGCTATTTATTCAAAATTAAAAAAAAGAAAAAAAGTTAGCCATCGGCTTCAGTATTTGTGCTCCCGAAAAGGAAGACGCTGGATGTATTTTCATGCACTGTGTTGCGTCGTATGAGTGCACTGATGTGATTGATGTGAGTGTGAGTGTTTGGGTGTGCGCTCTGCT